GCCCCGTCCCGCCCCGCCCCGCCCACCACTAACTGCTGCCATCCTTATGAGGGAGACACTTCTGCCAGGGGCTGCAGGGCAGCGCCAGCAGCAGGAAGAGGATCCCCCCCACGATGAGAACRGCCCCCGCGCATCCGAGACACGACACGGACCAGGAGAGCTCGTGGTGGAGAGGAACCGTGTGGTCGCTGGCCAGTAACGCCAGGACAGACTGGTGGAAAACCAGTAGAGACAGCAGCACCAGAACACCTGCAGTCAAAGACATGAGACTGCGTGAATAAATAACGGTCAGTTTTATAGGCTTCACCGCTCGCTGTCTTTACTGACCGGACAGGATGAAGCAGACGGACGCCGGCTTCAGAAAGAACAGGATCTCCTTGCTGAGAGCCATGGCGATGCAGATGGCTCCCATCACCATCAGGAAGAGGCTGAACAAGGCCAGCATCGCTGTCGCCACGTTCAGATCTGATCAGAGGGAGACGGCGGCGTTAAGAAATAACCAATCTGACTAGATTTATCAAATTACTGCACAGAAGCCTGCAGAGTGAGCAATGTGCCACCAAGAACAATGCAAACGAAAACACATCTGTCTGCCTTCATTCAGCCTGTGACACGTTGTAATCTTAATGCATTATGAAGCTGCCAGAGAAATGAGAGGTTGAACACACTTGAATGCAGCGTGGGTGGAATACATATTAAATACTCAGACAGCAGACGATACCTGAAAGAGTGAGGCGAAGGGGTGAAGGGAGGAAAAAAACAGCTTAGAAATAGATTGAGCAGCAAAAAGTATAAATAAATAACTGCAGAGGTAAAAGGGAGAGGAGGTGAGGTGGGCAAGGTAAGACAACTGTGTGACTCACTCTTCTCCGTTTTCTTCTGAAACATGACGGCGTTTTCCCCCGTGGTGAAAAACTTGAAGTAGGTGCAGTTCGACTCTGCGTGAAGAAGAGGGACAGAGGAAGAGGAGCAGCCAGTAAGATGGACATGAACACTGCCAGGGAATGGGTGCTAACCTTGATGCATCTCTTTTCATTTTCCCAAACCCTAACCCCCAAACAGTTTAGCTTTAATTGTTCTCCATCAAACACAATCAGCCGTGAACGACAAGCCCAAGGTGACAATCTGAAGCTTCCTGCGCAATTTGTGCCGTGCCGTCCTGATGGCRTGTTACAGTAATTAGAGTTTGGCCGTCAAATAGAATGTAACACGTCTCTCTGTTCCCTTGCACATTTGCACACGCGACCAAGCAAACACGCACGCACATCACTCCTAATTAGAGTGATGAAAGCCTCATCCTCACAGTGTTTGGGTTTGTTTTGTGTGTTTTTTCCCCTCACCACAGCAGCTATCGGAGTTTCAGAGAGGCAGCTGCACACAAATCCCAGAGGAGAAAAATCAAATCCCTTCATCAAATAAGCAACACTGTAGCTGCAAGTGGCCAAAGGGACAATGAGACCTTGACATGTCAGACTCAGAAAGATGCTTTAGCCACGTTAAAACAAATGTTAAAACTTTGTCCTTTTTTTGCAAACCTGTTATTTCCTTTAAATAAATAAAATGAATACAGCAGCCTGCAGAGGTGGGAAAAGTCATTATTTTACAAGTCCCAAGTCTTTATCCTCAAGCTCCAAGTCAAGTCTCATGCAAACACAGGCAATTGTCAAGTCCCAAGTCTGAAACTTGGAATTTCAAGTCCCTTTGAGTCTTTTTTAAACAATGTTGCAGTTGTTTGTTAAATATAAATAATGTACTCTTCTTTTGCATCTATATGTGTCTCAAGTCATGATGAAACGTGCAGTTTAACTTACAAATTATTTAAAAAAAAACTTTAAAATTGTATCTCTGTATTATGCAGTTCAAATAAACAGCTGAAAAATAGTCTTATCATTGTCCATTTATTTAAATCGGGTTAATTTGATTTGCAGTGATGCAGCTCATGCACAGAGTGTGAAAATAAAGACAGATGGTCTGCCTTAATTATAAAGAATGAGTGAAATTAATTAATGGGTCCCACATTATTGATAATGTGTTTTAAACTTAGGATTCTGGGTAAAACATCAAGTCTTTTCAAGTAAACAGGGTCAATAATTCGAGTCATTGGTATAAAAGTCCAAGTCAAGTCACAAGTCCCTGAACATTTTTTTCAAGTCAAGTCTAAAGAGTCTGATTCGAGTCCCCACCTCTGGCAGACTRTATTATAACAGTCCTTCATTGTTTGGTCTAAACCAAATAAACTGACCTCAGTTCTCGTCACTTATAAACTCTTTAGAGCATACTTTTTTATACTCTAAATTTCCCTAAACACCTTAAAACAGCATTGTTATTAATTGTTGTTGGAATACACTTCTTTCAGATTGTAATGCTTTCTGAGACTGGATATATTTTAGAAAACAATGAACTGGATGGATTTTATTGATTTTTTTAGAAAGTAACTTACTTGGAGTCAAACCAATCCAATATGGCCCCTAAAAACTAGCTATATTTTGTAGTTGCAGCATGCCTCTGATATACACTGATCCTTAACACAGTTGACTAAAACGGCTCCACACAAACCCTGAAGAAAGCCAAGCATCATTTGTCTGACCAGGAAGTCAGGTGGAGCACTCAGACAAGCTTACTCACTCCTTCCAACAAAGCTGTCCAACTAGTTCAACAGTCTGCCATTTGATCTGCCACTCRTCTTTTTTAACATCCTTTCCTTAAGCGGACTAGTCAGCCATTACAAAAACCCATAAATCAACCAAAACAGACTCTGAATTCTTTGAGTCACCTCCAGGAAGTTCAGCAGGTCCACAGCTCTCACGTTCTGGGTCGATATCAGCCACCCACAGCGTCTTGGTRCAGCCCTTCCACAGGCCGTAGTGAGTTGTTAGACAAGTCTGAGCAAAGGAAATCAAATGAAGAGACCAGCAGCAGTGTTTTGTTTTTACTGTAGGTCAAAGTTTCCAGGGATTTTAATCGAATCAATGAATTACTCTTCAATTGCACATGGAAATGTGAGGATGCGTGACGTTTCACCTGGTTGTTATAGAAATGCTTCGGAGGCGACAGCTCAGCCCAGAACTCTGTCCCAACACCGAGGACCGTCAGAACTACGCCCACAATGGCCACGAAGAAAGCGAGCTTGATCTGGCGACGCAACAAAAAAAAACACAGTTTCAGCATTAATACTAGAAACCAACTATTAGTTGTGTAACTCCACAGATTCATGAGCAATAACACACAAGACAGTGCCAATATGATCTGAACTGTGTGTCGATACGCTGCCAAAAGCTTTAGAGCTGGAATAAATAAAAAGACTTGGACATAAACCTTAGAGTGTATGTTTTCTGTTTCTATTTTCACTATTTTCACACACTATGTGAAAAACGCATCGTGTCCATCACTCCCACACAGCAGAGTCAACACAATGTGTGCTGAAACCAGAATGAGCTCAGTCATGAGGGTTTAGTTGTGTTTCTTTCAGACTTTTCTGCAAATGTTCCTTTATTCGTCGTTTGTGTGAGTGCTGTGAGAAAATTACGACTTCTCCATCCTAAGATCTATTTTGTTTCAAGGTATCGTAAGAAAACTTAGTGTTCAATAACTGAATTCGAGACKATAAACACACAAATGTTAAATAAATTGAAATGTAAAGGAATGAGGACCACGCAAACACCAGTGACTGGATAGGAATGGTGGAAACCAACGCAGAACAAAAAGCCGCAAGTTCCAGCATTTATACATGTTTCTTCAACGCCTGGCCCGCTCACTACTGGCCTACGGCTGAATCGCAGGCATTCAGACAAAAATCCTCACCTGATGTTTTATTTATGGTTATTTTTATGTGCTGTAAATATGTTTTGGGCATGTATCTAAACTATTTTAATCAAGACATGACAATAGTTAAACAATGGATTAAAACAGTCAATATTTAAAAAGGAAAACTAAGAAAATGGTGTAGTGTATTTAAAATCATGAAATAACCTGGCTAAAAAAATCCTTCAACTCCCCCTGGTCACATGACAAAATCATGTGAACAGTATAAAGGGAGAAAATACGAGTATGAGTTACCTTTCCCTCCTGAGCTTCACTCATGGCGTGTCCTCCTGATGTTGTCCTGCGACGCTTGTTCCCACCAAATGTGCTCCGTCCACTCATCAAGCCCGCCAGGCCACCTGCACCCTGCGCCGGTCCACCTGGCGCAACRCCCCCAGCCCCTGTTGACGTTCCTGGCACCACTGTGCGGCCATCCTCATCCGTCAGAAAAAACGTTGACCACATTTTGTATAAAAAAAATATGGGCAGCCGCCTTAACGGACGAAACAAATTTGTTTGGGAGGCCAAACAGTGTGTCACTGTTTTAGGTTCAAACCCTTTTCTGTAAAGTTATCTGACTTTAAGGAAGAGGTTAATCAATTTCAAACAGCAATTAAAAAATTGAGGCAACTTGCAAGTTAGAAAAAAATATGTATTATAACTGAGAAAAAGAGAACTCAAAGTTCATTGGTGGCAGGAAATATTGAAGGCAGGAATCTTTTTCTCGGGATAAATCCTGATATGAAGTTGAATCTTGAACAGATTCATGTTTAACAAATAAGTCATTTCTATAAAAAATCACAAAGTCAGGAAGGTGGTTAGAAATGCTTCATGTTGAGATGCAGAAGCAGAAAGGAGATGTTTCCTGGAGCTGGAGAAAGAACAAAGAAATTATGAGAAAGTAAAAGTACTAAATATGGAGGACCAAAATAAACTTTAAACTTTAAGTTAAACTGAGGCAGCACAAGCACAGTAGATCTGCACATGGATCCTGCTCTTTCCTGTCTGTTGACCAATAGGAGAGGAGCTGACCCAAGTAGGCCCGCCCACTTTGTTTGCATAATAAGGCAGAAATGCATAAAATAAAAACAGGAGACAGGGAAATGTAAAAGCAACAAATAAAAATACTTGTGGGGGAAAAGTAAAAAAAT